AACTGTGCCCTCTTTCATACCCACAGCCCGGCTAAGCCTAAGAGGATAAGCCTGCTGACCTGCTTCCAAAGTCTCAACAGTCCGTAGGATAAAATCTGTGGAAGGGCTTGAACTGCCTTGGCAATACCTGCCCCCCATCATTCTCAACCCATAAATTAACCTACTCCCAGCCTGGAAATCTTTATCCTGCCACTGCCCAAAGACCATAATACTCAGGCATGTGGCTGTTAATGTCTCATAATCATCATTCTAAAGCAACAAGTTAAGATTATCCAGCAGAGCTAATAGATAGCTTCAGAAATAAAGGAAAAATTTTATGCAATCAAATCAAACCAGACTGAAAAGCTTCCCATATCAACCCTGGGTTTCTGAAAGAAAAGAAAAAGGGAATATGAATGACAGGAAAAAGGACATAGACACACACACACACTCACACAATTTCAGTTTCCCTAAATGACATTAGTGCTGTTTAATTATCTCTCCCTGCTTAAATTATGACTTGGTACAGGGGAGATATTTTGCTTTCTTTATAGTTCTAATACTCATCATAATACAAATTGCTGTAACTGAATTGTTTCCAGATTTAGCCATCAAGAACACCTATATAAGATCTTTTAGATAGATTCGACAGACATACCATGCAAAAATCTTCTCAGATTCTAGGCTGTATCAGGCCACACCTAAGGCTCTGCACAAGGTGTCTACTGGGTAGTAACCTTTGGGAAACATAATAGAGTTACCTCCTGGAATATAATGGTGCCAAAAGGTGCAGTCTGAGTCCAATCCAACATTTAGTTCTTGTTCCATATGTCCCAATGAGCTATTTGGTTCACCAGAAGTTATACTACTACAAAGGAAGAGGCTCGTGTCTCAAACTCTTGGATAAACATCTTTTCCCCCTGTGCTAGGGACTGAACTCAGGGCCTTGTACATAGTAGTCAAGGGATCAGGGATCTTACCACAGAGCTACAACCCCAGGATAAATATGCAGGTAAATTACAAGCAGAAGTTACTTCTACTGATAGTATACCATATAGGAAAAGGGACCAAGTTTCACTATGAAAATAAGCCAGATAGTCAAGGTTTTCTGAATCTCAGATTGTTATGAAAGGAGTATATCTGTGTGTATGTCAGTAAATTATTTCCCTCAGAACAAAAACAACAAGACAAAGCTAGCTTAAAGAGATCCAGTTACATGGGGGCTGGGAAGGTGGCTCAGTGGTTGAGTGCTTGCCTTGCATGCGTAAGGCCCTAGGTTCAATTCCTCAGCACCACATAAGCAGAAGAAGCTGGAAGTGGCACTGTGGCTCAAATGGTAGAGCACTAACCTTGAGCTGAAGATCTGAGGGACAGTTGCCCAGGCCCAGAGGTCAGGCCCCACAACCAATTAAAAAAAATAAAAAAGTTACTTAGTGCTAGGAGCCGGTGGCTCATGCCTATAATCCTTAACTACTCAGGAGGCTGATCTGAGGATCTTGGTTTGAAGACATCCTGAGAAGGAAAGTATGTGAAACTCATCTCCATTTAATCACCAATGAGCTGGAAGTAGAGCTGTGGCTGGAGTGGTAGAGCACTAGCTTTGAGGGGGGAAAAAAAGTTCAGGGATAGAGCCCAGGCCCTGAGTTAGGAGAAAGAGGAGGAGGAGGAGGAGGAGGAGGAGGAGGAGGAAGAGGAGGAGAAGGACGAGAAGGAGGAGAAGGACGAGAAGGAGGAGAAGGAGGAGAAGAAGGAGGAGGAGGAGGAAGAAGAGGAAGAGGAAGAGGACCAATTACCTAAGCAAAAGCTTTAAGATTATATATAGGTGAGTATCTGTACCTCTGAACCTCTTCTCATCCCCAAATAAGCCTCACAACACACTCTGTCCTGGGCAGCCAGCTTGTGTCCTCATGTGCACATGTGTGCATATGGGAGAAGGGGGCAATATGCTGGAGAGAAATGCCTCAGAGCCAAGAGCCCACAAATTATGGTAGATGCTCAGCTACATTCCCATATAAGCCAGGAATACTGGCTTATTGAACAAGTGTCCCAGGGCCCTGGCAACCTTGTAGCTGCAGTTTGCTGGTATCCACCTCTAGATCAGTTTCCCTTTAAAATAACTGAAGGGGAATCTCCTCAGAGCACAGCTGGGCAAGAGGGGACTCTCAGATTGAAGTAGTCTAGAACTCATGCCCCATTCCCTTGAGGAAACTATACTAACTAACTGGATCTGGTCCTAGTTGAGTTCCCCAGAACATCCTTACCTCCCCCAACCTACTCCACCCCAGCCCTCTCTGGACTGCCTGTGCCACAGCCAGTCAAGTTATGTTGGACTGTGCCAAATGAGCAGAGATAAACATTCCCAGAAAAGAAACACAAGGCTGCTGCTCCTCCCCTCTCAGGCAAACATCCAGGTGACCAGAAAAGGGAGTCTTATTGCCAGAGGAGATCCTACATGAACCCCAGAGGGCCTGATACAGGGCAAGGGGAAAAAGGCCTGAACTCCGGGGAGAATTCTTGGGAAGTTATAGGACTCATCTGGGAAGGCTCTCTCCTAGTTTCCCCACTGCAGCAAACATTTTTGGGGAATGGGGTTCACACTAGCTAATGGAAGAGAGCAGAGAAGACTACCATGACTCCCAACACTACAACCTGCCCCCAAGTCACACAGATAAAGTACACACAAACACAGGATTATAACCCAAGCCTAGCAAAGTCTTTTCCAATGTTCTGACAGCCCAGCAACAGAACAGTGACCCATTAGCAGTCCTCTCTGGTGCTTATCACCAGCTATCAGCTGACATGGATCAAAACATCTCTCTCTGATCCCTAGACACAACAAAGCAGTGTCAAATTGGCAAAAGGAACTGTAAGTAGTGAAAAGGCCACAACTCTAAACCCCACGGACGCTTTCTCCTTCCAACCTCAAAACCACCAGGCAAGGGCTCTGGCTGACACCTGCCCAGTTGAACTGCTAGACTCAGCCCCCACTACTTACACACTTCCAAGTAGACTTGCAGGTTTCTCAAGCATCCTCCCCTCTCCTGCAACCAGGAACTTCCACTCCAGGAGCTGTGCCCAACCATTCAAACCAAAGGACTCGATTGCAAAATCATGGAAAGACCTCTACCCTCATTTCTGGGGGTGGGATCTCAGCAACCACCTAAATGTCACAGTCCCATGAAAGTCATGGGACTACAGTTCACAGAGAAAATGTCTGGGGTCTGCGATCTCTCTCCCCGCTCTCCAAAATGTTGGCTTCCAGGAAGTCCTTTTGAGCAGTCAATCTCAGAATCTACTTAGCAACACCGCTAACTGGTGACAAGTTAACAGGGACAGCATTTTACAAAACAAAACAGCTCAGATGACCATTGTGTCTTTTCCTATTTTTGCAAAAAGACCCTATGGCTCAAACACCAATCTGGATGAATGTTAGTGTACTTTAATTGGCTAATTGATTTTTCTTCCATTCTGCATAATGCCCAGGCAACAATCGAAAACAAAAACAAAACCCTGGTCTCTCTGTGGCCTATAGAATTGAACTCTTCCTTCTCCGTAGTTCAAAGTCATTTCCATGGCACTCTGAGAAAATGAAACTTCAAGGTCGCAAACAAATTGTATTACTATCATATCAGATTGTGTACCTGGTACCTACCGTGAGCCTTGTATCTAAAGTACACAATCTCATTTAATCCTAAAAGTAATTCTATCAGGTAAGCTTCAACAAGCCCATTAACACATGGAAGAAACTCTATATAATATTAGTGAAACCAGACATTCATCAGTAGGACAGAAATTCAACTTCCTTGTTGTATAGGATAACTCTGCTTCCCAGACTAACCACTCTGTCCTAAGGAATTCAACTTTCTGCTTGAAGAAAAGTCTTCCTCATAGCAACAGTTCACATTTGACCAATTCCAAGAAGTTCCTTCCAAACTTGATATGAAAATATTGAAGTAATTATTGAAGAAATTGAGCAAGAGCATGCAGGAAGGCCTGTTCTGCCAGGGCTCTCCGGGAACGTGACAGTGCTACTGGCAGGATGCCTGCCAGCCAGCCAGGGCCCCTTACTCAGAACAACATTCTTTAAAACCTGCCCTTAGAAATGAGCAGCCACCTGTTTGGTAACACTGGGAGCAACCTGTGGCTACTTTGGGCATGGATTACAGGTCAAGAAGAGATCCAGACTGGGGCTCAGCCTTGCCCAGACACGAAGGCAAATCCACTCACTGAAGCCCCTTAGGTAGGCTGAAACCTGCAGGGGTTCATTCAGAACAAATATGGACAAGTAGTGTCAAAGAGAGGAAAAAAAATCAATCAGTCCCTTGATAACTAGTTACATTTTAGTTCTCCAACCTCCAGAGTGCACAAGCCTGAGAGGATCTTCCAGCTCGCTCTGTTTTGGGGAACTTTCAGGAGTAGGAAGTTGGGGCTGGGGGGGGGGACATGAGGGCCTCAGGTCAGGGATCTACCCAGAGGCAGAAATGAAGACGAAGGCGGAAAAAACTGAGAATTTACCCTCACTAATTAAATCCTTATTTACATGATTCCATTTTCTCTCCCAAAACAACTCTCTCCCCCCTCCTCCAAACATCTTATCATTTGTTATCTCTGCGTTTCCAACACAAACCTTCGAGAAGCTAAGTCACTTTACCCAAAGGCTCAGGGAAAGGGGGTGGGGGGGGGAAGTTAACCCATTCTTAGCAGAGCGACTCTATGAGAAGACCCCGAAAGGTGAACTCTCTTCCTCAAGGTCCCCAAAGTCGAGCGGGTTACTCGGAGTTCCTGAAGGTTCCAACTCAGGACTTGCCTGGCCAGTGTTCTCACCCACACTGAGCCGACTCCCAAACTTGCCGAGCCTCGGCCTGCTGGCTTCCCCAACGGCCCCTCTCTGCTCGACCCGGCCCGGATCCTCCGACTAGGGATCCGGGGCAAACTGGCAGTCGTAGAAGAGAAGGCGTGGGGGAAAGTCCGGCGGACCCCTGCCGGGAAATCCGGGGGGAGTCCCCGACCCAAGTTCTTACTGAGCAGCGGAGACTCCTCGGGGCAAGCGGGCAGCGACCGCGCAGCGGCGGGGGACCCCGAAGTCAAGTTGCTGGCGGGGCTGGAGTCGCGGCTGGACCGAGGCTCTGAGGAGACGCCTAGAGGCGGCGGCGGCCGGGGCCCCCGGGAGCGGGGCTCCCCGGAGGGCTGCGCGCCGACGGGGGCGCCGTTCGAGCCGCCCTGCGGCGACGTGGAGACCCCGACCAGCTGGGGCAGGCGGCTCAGGTCGCGGCCGGCCAGGTAGTAGACGAGGGTGACGCCGAGGTGCAGCGCGCAGACGGCCACGAGCAGGCGGCAGGCCCGCTGCAGCGTCGCGCCGGGCATCGCCGCGCTGCCGCCCAGGAGCGGCTCCCGAAACCTCATCTTCCCGCCGCGGCTTTAAGAGGGGGGGTGGGCTACGGGCAGAGAGGACCGCCCGCCCGGCCGCCCGCCCGCCCGCCGGACGCTAAGCGACCACGGCGACCGGGGGAGGGGCCAAGGGAAGGGGGGGAGGGGGGGAGGGAGGGAGCGAGCGCCGAGCCGGCCGAAAGCCGACACTCCGGGCTTACGCTCCGCAGCCACCAGAAGGGCGCCGGAGGCGTGGGCGCGGGCGAGGCGGGGCCGCTGGAGGGGGCGGAGCCTCATTGGGCGCGGGGCCGCCGGCGGGCGGGGCCTCCTGGGGCGGAATCGCACCGACAGCACCTCCCCCGGAGGCTGGGCTGCGGGGGCTGCCGCCAGGGGCGGGGCCTTTTCGGGACGAGAGGGGGAGAGGAGGGCGGGGCCTCCTTGGTGCGGAGCCGTCGGTGGGCGAGGCCTAATGGGGCGGGACCGCATGGACGGCGCCTCCTTGAGAGGATGCGCTGCGGGGACCGGAACCGCTTGCTCGGAGGGGGCGCGGCGCGGCGCGGCGTGGGACTGTCCGGGGTGGAACCCCGGGGGTCTCACGCCCAGCCGCACCCCGCCTAACTCTGCTTCCTGAGCGTGCACGGTGAGGAGCCGCCGCCTCCTGCTCCAGCAAGCCGCCCTCGGCCGGCCCCAGCACTTCCTGGGGTACGAGATGCAGGCCTGGCACGAGGGCGGGGAACCGAGAAGTTTGACTTTGGAAGGGGTTGGGGCGCCTCGCACGCCGGTGAGCTTCCAGTAGGCCTGGCGGGTGAGCTGCCCAGTGGAGAGCCACTTGTCCCGGAAACTGGCGTCGATGCCCGGCGAGAACTGGGGCGGTGGCCGAGGACTTGTCCGGGATGTTTGAAACTCCGCTGTCTCACCCTGGCCCCGCGGGGCGGTGCGTGGAGGCCTGCGCGCAAACCCGGCCTGCAGGGATCCCCGGCGGCGAGGAAAGTGGATGCGCGGTTACTTCTCTCGCCCCACTGTGGAGTACGCCTGGCTAGGGAGTCAAAGGCCAGTCAGTGCAGCTCGGTTTTCAGGACAGAGGGCGCCTGTAGCGCAGGGGACGGGGTGAAGAGACAGCTCTGAGCCGGGACGTCTGCTTGTTTTCTGTTAGCACTCCCCGGCATCACAATGCCATGAAGTAGTAATCCCCATCCGCAGGTAAAAGAGTTCAAGAAGCCTGGTGAAGTGGCACATTCCTGTAATCCCATACTTTGGAGGTGGAAGCAGAAGAATCCAGAGTTCCAAGCCAGCCTGAGGCTACAGGATGAGACCCTGGTTCAAAAAAAGAACAGAAACAGCTTTTTACAGTTGTATGGTTAACTGGGCGGTTCTGCTTCCCATGGTGTCAGCTGAAGCTGGTAGTTCCAAAATGGCCTCATGTGGCTGGTCATTGTTTCTGGCTGAAGGCTGGGAGCTTAGAGCTCAGAATGGATTGTGGATCATGGGCCTCCATTCTCCATATTGGACTCTTCCCAAAGGCCTTTTCATGTGGCTACTTGAATTTCTTCAAAATGAGGGATGTGTTCCAAAAAAACCATTTGAAGACCAAGGCAAAAAAAGATGCAGATTTCTTAAGGCCCAGCCTTAAGGCATTATTTTTGGTTAAAGCAAGTTACAGGGCAGTGTAGATTTAAGTGAAGTGAAAACAGACTTCATCTTTGTTGGTGGTGGTGGTAGTGGTGGTCGTGGGGCTTGAAATCTGGGCCTGGGCACTGTCCCTCAGCCCTTCAGCTCAAGGCGAGCACTCTGCCACTTGAGCCATAGCACCACTTCCAGTTTTCTGGTGCTTAATTGGAAATAAGAGTCTCACGGACTTCCCCTTCCCAGGCTGGCTTTGAACCACGATCCTCCTATCTCAGCCTCCTGAGTAGCTAGAATTACAGGTGTGAGCCACTGGTGCCCAGCAGACTCCATCTCTTGATGAGAAAAGAGGCAAAGTTTGACCAACTGTCAAACTGTAATCCTAGGCTATTTAGGATACTGAGATCTAAGTATTGAGGTTCAAAGCTAGCTCAAGCAGGAAAGTCCATGAAATTCTATTTCCAATTAAGTACCAAAACGCTGGAAGTGAAGCTCTAGCTCAAATGGTAGAGCACTAGTTTTGAGCAAAAAAGCTCAGGGACAGAGCTTATGTCCTGAGTTCAAGCCCCAGAATTGGAACACACACACACACACACACACACACCACAGCTCTCCTCCCAAGACCTTCTTGAAGATTAATCCTGTTAAGACTTCAGCACAGCCAGGTACCAGTAACTCACACCTGTAATCCTAGCTACTCAGGAGACTGAGATTTTAGGATTGCAGTTCAAAGCCAGCCCTGTCAGGAAAGTCCATGAGACACTTATCTCCAGTAAAACACCAGAAAACCAGAAGTGGCTCTGTGGCTCCAGTAGTAGAGCCTTGAGCTGAAGAGCACAGAGACAGAGCCCAGGTCCAGAATTCCAGCACTAGAATCTGATCATATAAATCAGCTCCAAGTATGATCCCTCAAGTTCAGGGACCTATACATTATATAAAAAATTACCTTTTCCTCTTTCTCTTCTCCCTATTCCTGAGCAATTGAATTCAAGAGTCCGGGTGAACAAGGTAAATAGTGTAAAAGCTATGGAAAGCAAAGCCAACTAGAGTGAGAAGGAAGGGTAGAGATGGGGTGGGAAGAATAGCAACCCAACCTAGAGAATACCTAAGCACAATCAAAAGGAGACCTGTGCCAGATACGAGTTGTTTACATCTGTACATCTGCTACTCAGGAGGCTGATATTTGAGGATCCCATTTCAAAGCTAACCAGGGCAGAAAAGTCTCAAGACTCTAAACAGCAAGAATGCTGGATTGGAGGTGTGGTTCAAGTGGTAGAGCACCAGCCTTGAGCAAGAATGCCAAGCTAAAGTGTAAGGCCCTGAGTTCAAGTCCCTGTACACACACACACACACACACACACGGTGGAGGCATCCAGGGAGTAATCAGAACCTGAGCTTGATGCTGGGGCTTTTGTGAAATAGAGCATCCTAGGACAAGGTGTTGAGCCCAAGTAAGGAGATTGTTAAAAATAGATTAAGAACTACATTTGTGGATAGCCACATATATGTGGATAAGGAGAATTATCCAAGTCTCTGACTCTGTGTCAGGGAGAATTAGACAAATATATATGTGTATATATACATATATATATATATATACACACACATATATATGTATGTGTATAAGAAAGCTAAAATCATTTAGTACTTTATTCGAATTTGAGAAAAAGTTTGAATTTATTTTTAACTTAGAGATATTTCCCATTTATTATTTACTTTTGCATTGCTGGTGATTGAACCCAAAAACTTATGCATACTTGGCAGGGACTCTGTCACTGAACTACACCAGTCAGTTGCTCAGTTTACAGATAGCTAATGACATGAATACAGACGTAAGAGAATGTGTGTCTGGGAGCAGAAATTTCCCAGTGCAATGAGCGCATTTAGCACCAAGACCTTGGTTTCTAAACACCATTCAACAATAAAAGGACCTGAGAATTCTTGGAGAAAGCCTAACTGTGGGGTATTACAACATGAACCTGGAATGTCTTATGCTGGAACGTAAGGGGAAGAGCTCAAAGGATGATGACTTGTGAAAAGGACAGGACACGGAATCCAATTTGAAGGGCTCCCATTGGTCAAATATGCAACAAGCTGAACATGAAAGTAAATATGACTGGGCACCAGTGGCTCATTCCTATAACCCTAGCTACGGGGGAGTCTCAGATCTAAGGATCAAGATTCGAAGCCTGGGGCGGAGGTGGGGTTTGTGAGAGAGGAGGAGGGATCCAAAGCCGGCCCTGGCAAGAAAGTCCATGAGATTCTTTTTTTTTTTTTTTATCCGGTCGTAGGGCCTGAACTCTGGGCCTGGGCACTGTCCCTCAGCTCTTCAGCTCAAGGCTAGCGCTCTATCACTTGAGCCACAGCGCTACTTCCAGCTTTTTTCTTTTTGCTTATGTGGTGCTGAGGAATGGAACCCAGAGCCTCAGGCATTGCAAGGCAAGCGCTCTACCACGGAGCCACCTTCCCAGCCTCCATGAGATTCTTATCTCCAGTTAAGCACCAAAAATGCCAGAAGTGGATCTGGTAGCACACTAGCCTGTGCAAAGAAGCTCAGGGACAGTAGCCAGGCCCTGAGTTCAAGCCATAGCACCAGCACAAAAAGAAAAGAAGGAAAGGAGAAAGAATGAAAAGGAAGGAAAGAAAAAAAGGAAAGAAAGGGAAAAAGAAGAAATATAGGTAGGAATAGCTTATGATCCATTGAAATGTAAGGAAATTGTGAGTCAATAGTGACATAAATAATTGAAGTTTAATGAGTACACAGATTATATTATAAATAATTTCATACCACTCTATGAAATACTAATGTTTTACTAATGTTTCAATTGGAAGCAGCAGAGAAATACAAATTGTCAGATGTTAGCATTATGGTAGTCAAGGGAAAACAGGCAAACTGTTCCAATTCCAACTAGAGACTAAAGAGAAATGACAACTAAGTACAACATGTGTTTCTTGGGAATCCTCTGCTATAGAGAATATTGTTGGGATAGTATTGTTGAACAGGAACTAGGATTGAGGGTAGGATGATATCATCTGCGGATGTTAATTTCCTGGTTTTAATGGTTGTATTGTAGTTATATTAGAAATAGGCACTAAGAGATCTGAGGACAATATGGTATCATGTCAAACTTATTCCCAAGTAGTCAAAAAATTATTTGTCCTACACTGCAGCTTTTCTGCAAGTTGTTTCCCTGACATCCAATACATAATGGGAAATAAGGGACAGGGAAACCACAGTAGACACTCCTATTTAGAAAGGAGGTTATTAAGAGGCATAGTACAACCATTAGGAGATCTGAAAAGCAATCATATACTGTGGACAATTCCCTAGGCCCCACAGCTCCAAGGGCAGGAAGTATGATTTTCTATGGCTCCTATCTCTACCCTCTGAACTAGGCTAAGAGAGTAGGGCTCAGAGGGTAGAATTTTTCCTCTGAGCCGTTCTTCCTAAGATCCTCAGAAGTACTTTTGTCTAAATTAGGATGGGAGGC